TGTTACAGGGCTATTTCCGTTGTTAACTGGATTCGTCCTGACGTTCTAGTTTTTTTGGTTGTACTTCTTTACATTTAAATTAATTGTGTACTTATTTGACATTTTACTGCATTGTTAGGCACTAGTAACATAAGCATTTCGCTGCACCCACTATAACATCCGCTAAACTGTGGACGCGATCAATTCACTTTGATTTGATTAGTACGGTAGTGGAACCTGATTCACCAAACTTAGCACAATATTTGGGGGGTAGTTAAGTGTATGGCAGCTAGCAGTTTGTGTCGGCAGATGTGTGTGTGTCTGTGTGTGTGTGTGTGTGGGTGTGTGCCTAGTACTTGTGTGCCTAGTACCCCCCCCCCCCCCCCACCACACACACACAGATTTTATACTACACCACCTTATTAAGGAAATGCACACAGAGCCATCATAGGCCACCACTTTTTTAGGAACTCAGTGTGCAAACACGTGCCCCCACACACACATACACAATGGTGAACTTTGACACACAGAGAGCCAAGGTGCAGGGAGAGGGCTTGACCAGGAGGGAGCAGTGTAGATGTCCAGGAGAGGACCAGGCGGGAGCAGTGTAGGTGTCCAGGAGAGGACCAGGAGGGAGCAGTGTAGGTGTCCAGGAGAGGACCAGGAGGGAGCAGTGTAGGTGTCCAGGAGAGGACCAGGAGGGAGCAGTGTAGATGTCCAGGAGAGGACCAGGAGGGAGCAGTGTAGATGTCCAGGAGAGGACCAGGAGGGAGCAGTGTAGGTGTCCAGGAGAGGACCAGGAGGGAGCAGTGTAGATGTCCAGGAGAGGACCAGGAGGGACCAGTGTAGATGTCCAGGAGAGGACCAGGAGGGACCAGTGTAGGTGTCCAGGAGAGGACCAGGAGGGAGCAGTGTAGATGTCCAGGAGAGGACCAGGAGGGAGCAGTGTAGGTGTCCAGGAGAGGACCAGGAGGGAGCAGTGTAGATGTCCAGGAGAGGACCAGGAGGGAGCAGTGTAGATGTCCAGGAGAGGACCAGGAGGGAGCAGTGTAGGTGTCCAGGAGAGGATCAGGAGGGAGCAGTGTAGGTGTCCAGGAGAGGACCAGGAGGGAGCAGTGTAGGTGTCCATGAGAGGACCAGAAGGGAGCAGTGTAGGTGTCCAGGAGAGGACCAGGAGGGAGCAGTGTAGATGTCCAGGAGAGGACCAGGAGGGAGCAGTGTAGGTGTCCAGGAGAGGACCAGGAGGTAGCAGTGTAGTTGTCCAGGAGAGGACCAGGAGGGAGCAGTGTAGGTGTCCAGGAGAGGACCAGGAGGGAGCAGTGTAGGTGTCTAGGAGAGGACCAGGAGGGAGCAGTGTAGGTGTCCAGGAGAGGACCAGAAGGGAGCAGTGTAGATGTCCAGGAGAGGACCAGGAGGGAACAGTGTAGGTGTCCAGGAGAGGACCAGGAGGGAGCAGTGTAGGTGTCCAGGAGAGGACCAGGAGGGAGCAGTGTAGGTGTCCAGGAGAGGACCAGGAGGGAGCAGTGTAGGTGTCCAGGAGAGGACCAGGAGGGAGCAGTGTAAATGTCCAGGAGAGGACCAGGAGGGAGCAGTGTAGGTGTCCAGGAGAGGACCAGGAGGGAGCAGTGTAGATGTCCAGGAGAGGACCAGGAGGGAGCAGTGTAGATGTCCAGGAGAGGACCAGGAGGGAGCAGTGTAGGTGTCCAGGAGAGGACCAGGAGGGAGCAGTGTAGGTGTCCAGGAGAGGACCAGGAGGGAGCAGTGTAGGTGTCCAGGAGAGGATCAGGAGGGAGCAGTGTAGGTGTCCAGGAGAGGACCAGGAGGGAGCAGTGTAGGTGTCCAGGAGAGGACCAGGAGGGAGCAGTGTAGGTGTCCAGGAGAGGACCAGGAGGGAGCAGTGTAGGTGTCCAGGAGAGGACCAGGAGGGAGCAGTGTAGGTGTCCAGGAGAGGACCAGGAAGGAGCAGTGTAGGTGTCCAGGAGAGGACCAGTAGGGAGCAGTGTAGGTGTCCAGGAGAGGACCAGGAAGGAGCAGTGTAGGTGTCCAGTTTATGCTAGATGTTCTTCTTTACAGACCACAGTATTAAAGAAACGGCACTGAGATGTCCAATACACACGAACACAACAGACCACAGTATTAAAGAAACGGCACAGAGATGTCCAATACACACGAACACAACAGACCACAGTATTAAAGAAACGGCACAGAGATGTCCAATACACACGAACACAACAGACCACAGTATTAAAGAAACGGCACAGAGATGTCCAATACACGCGAACACATACAGAGCACACATGCAAGCTTTTACATGAGAATGTATACCCTCTGGTCTAAAACCATGTTTTCTTTTCAATGTGTGTTTCTTTCTGTACAATGTTTTGTTTTTGTAGTCTAATACTGCAAAAGTATTGAGATGGTTACCAGATTTGCACATTCCATATGATAATGAAAATAATTATTGCTTTTCACCATGTTTTTATTAATATAAAAACAAAATCCAATAATAAAAAATATATATATATATTTGCTAGGCACACACTGACCCATATTGACGTATTTTTTGTGCAACAAGTGGACAACAAGCTACAGTACAGGACAAAGAGATTCCACCAAAAGAACAGAGAGTTCAAGGTTTCAACATCATTAGCTGACAACACTTGAGATGGAAAGTCACGTGCACACACACACACACACACACACGCATACACACTCACACACACGCATACACACTCACACACAGGTCATTAACACTGTTATAGACAGGTAGAGGAAAGCCAGGCCGACAGTAGCTACATTTAACGTGGCACTGCTATTATCATACCACATTGTTGATCACAAGACTGTTTACAGCTAGGGGAAGTGGCCGGGGTTATGTCTAAAACAGCTACGGGAAGTGGCCGGGGTTATGTCTAAAACAGCTAGGGGAAGTGGCCGGGTTATGTCTAAAACAGCTAGGGGAAGTGGCCGGGGTTATGTCTAAAACAGCTAGGGGAAGTGGCCGGGGTTATGTCTAAAACAGCTAGGGGAAGTGGCCGGGGTTATGTCTAAAACAGCTAGGGGAAGTGGCCGGGGTTATGTCTAAAACAGCTAGGGGAAGTGGCCGGGGTTATGTCTAAAACAGCTAGGGGAAGTGGCCGGGGTTATGTCTAAAACAGCTACGGGAAGTGGCCGGGGTTATGTCTAAAACAGCTACGGGAAGTGGCCGGGGTTATGTCTAAAACAGCTACGGGAAGTGGCCGGGGTTATGTCTAAAACAGCTACGGGAAGTGGCCGGGGTTATGTCTAAAACAGCTACGGGAAGTGGCCGGGGTTATGTCTAAAACAGCTAGGGGAAGTGGCCGGGGTTATGTCTAAAACAGCTAGGGGAAGTGGCCGGGGTTATGTCTAAAACAGCTAGGGGAAGTGGCCGGGGTTATGTCTAAAACAGCTACGGGAAGTGGCCGGGGTTATGTCTAAACAGCACCTCTGTTAATTAAAAGTTGCCTCTCCTATCCTCAAGGCGAGTGAGTTGGGATTCCATAAAACAAGACACACATTAAATCCATGCTGCTCCCTTCTCCTCCCGCATCTGCAGTGTAATCAAGCTGTAGATCAGAGGGCTGCCTGGCTGGTCAGAGGAAGGGGTGTTACATCCAAATGTTGTTTCTCCTCTCTCATACCCCTATGCACCATAGTGTGCACTACTGTTGACAGAAACGAATAGTGCATACGCACTATAAAGTATGGCACAGGTCAAAAGTAGTGCCCTTACGGTGAGTAAACTTGGGTATAATTTGGGACACTGCCACAGACACTTGAGGAGTATGGGGAATAAATGTGCCATTAGAGACTTGAGCCCTGTGGTCCTCCTGCTAACCGTCTGGCAGACTGGGAAAACGTTATACATCCTAATCTAGAGATCGCTCCCTGCCTGCGACTGTGGTATAGGAGGGAGGGAGTCGTCTGATTCCCCGGCTAAACAGCAGAGATAATGGATTTATCCCCTGTTTATCGGCCTGGACCGGGCTCAGCCCTGCAACAACAGAGGAATTTCCTGGAGAGAAACAAGCCAGAAAGAGAGAGAGAGAGAGAGAGAGAGAGAGAGAGAGAGAGAGAGAGAGAGAGAGAGAGAGAGAGAGAGAGAGAGAGAGAGAGAGAGAGAGATGGGAGAGGAGATAAATACAGAGAGAGATACAGAGAGAGTAGAAAGAGATATAGAAACTAAGTGATACAGACGTCATCAACATCTATAGAACCAGGTCAGTGTCTAGTTGGATCATTGCACAGATTTCCTGAACGATCCAAACTTCCATTTACTTTGCAAAACTCTGGAAAACTTCACAGAGATCCAAAGACCCACAAGCGATCACATCCTGATCAGAAACATCTCAATCTCCCAGTCCACCTGTTGTCTCATTCATGTTGACTGATCTGACCGCATAGGGCCCTGGTCAAATGTACTGCTCTAGATAGGGAATAGGGTGCCATTTCAGATGCAGCCTGCCTGGATCCTGTAAGCAGCACCTCTGTAAGCAGCACCTCAGTGTAGGTGTCCAGGAGAGGACCCAGGAGGGGAGCAGTGTAGGTGTCCAGAGAGGACCAGGAGGGAGCAGTGAGTGTCCGGAGAAGAAATGCAGTGTAGGTTTCCAGGAGAGGACACAGAGAGC